CCTCGGGGGCGCCGCCAGTCTGGTCCTGGGAAGAGGCAGAGGGCTGGGTGGCAGCGGGTGGCTGGCTCATGCTGTGCCAGGTGTAGGGTCTGCTGGCTGGGTGCTGGCAGGCTTGCACCTGGCACGGGCACCATAGCCAGATCGTGCCCCTTTAAGGGCTCCGGGGCCGGGAGGGGGGCAGAAGAGTTTCCCTGGTGGTGCCCAGAGTGGCCACCAGGGAAAGCTGGGGAGGGCTAGCCTCCCACTAGTTTGAATTAAGTGGCTACACAGCCCTTAATTCGAACTAGTTAATTCGAACTAGGCGTTAGTCCTCGTGGAATGAGGTTTACCTAGTTCGAATTAAGCACTCCGCTAGTTCGAATTAAGTTCGAACTAGCGGTTTGCTAGTGTAGCGCCTATCAAAGTTAATTCAAACTAACGTCTGTTAGTTCGAATTAACTTTGTAGTGTAGACATACCCTTAGGAAGTCAATGAGGAAGAGAAGGCATGGATTCACACAGAGATGTTTAAACCAAACAACTAAAATAAAGAAAAATACTCTGATCATGACCAAATCACATTTTCCCCTTATTTATTCATGATCCCTTCCTGGTTCAGTCCACTTCCATGCCCCAAATTCCTTGGAGGTATGATAGTCCTGCCTGAGTTTAAATCATTCTGTGTCTCTGGACTCCTGGCTTAACTTCCTCACACAAAGAAAGCAGGCAGGGTATCTTATATAAATTTCCGCACTGTATCCCCATTGGTTCTTCTGGTCCCCTGCCAACAACCTTGCTAGCTACCTGAGTTTAACCCCTTAGTCACCGGGTGCTAGCCAGCACTACTCCTATCCATCACAACCATACTGCCAGCTAGCCAGTTATTCCTCATTTTGCAATTGCGCATTTGATTTTTCTTCATAAGTGATGTACTTTGTTACTTGTCTTTATTGAATTCAGACCACTTCTCCTATTTGTCATTTTGAATTTTAAACCTCTCCTCCAAAGTGCTTCCAACTCCTTCCAGCTTGTGTCATTTTCAAATTGTATAAGCATGTTCTCTACTCTGTTATGCAAGTAATTAATGAGCTAACAGTGCACGAGGACCAACAGTGCCATTTTCCCCACAATACTCTGTCCATCTTCGTTAACTTTATTTTGAGAGCCTCCTTGTAGAGATGAGAATACCCATTTCATTCTACATCCATTTAGTTCTTGGCCTCCTTTCTGAGATTGCCAAGAAGGGATCTGGCAGACAGATTTATTCTTGAGATAGGACTTCTGAGGTGTGATGGCAGTACATATAGTCAGACCTGAGCTAAGTTGGTCAAGCTAGCTGGAATAACAAAGAGAGCACCTGTACTGCTAGTGGCTCCCTGCTATTTTGATTCAAGCTGGCTAGATCAAAGCTAGCCTGGGTATGTCTGTAAGTGCTGCAGTCACCTCTCTGATCCAGTGTATACATATTCAGCAAACCACCCCAGGACAGTGAGTTAAATGATTACTGCTCTGGTCCAGATTTGATCTAGTGGCCTGAATTCCTTCAGCCTCTCAACTGAAATACAAATATTGAATGGACAGCCTTTTCAGATAAAATAAGGAAATAGCATAGTTGTATGCCCTGGTTGTGTAATTAGCTCTGCATCATGTGGGCCCCTATGTCCACTCAGAGGTCACTGCAGGACTGGAACCTCAGAGTACAAGACTGAAAAGTACAAAAGGACTAAAACTCTATTAAAACTTTATGACTTTTAAAGCCATTTGCAATAAAAGCAAAGAATGTAGATTGAAATTACCAGTGGTACCTTCCCTCAGCATATGGTATACACTAAAGGTTTGTTTTTATGTAAGATTTAAAATGCATACCACACCTCATAAAATGCCAGATGATAGTGCATACATTCATATGGGGTACCCAAAGTTACCTCTTTTAGGCTCGACTTCTTATGGGTGACCTCAAGCATGGAAGGAGTTCATATATTAAGTCTATTGTAAAAAGCTTGTTAGCATTTAGCCTATGGAAGAAAACTTGAATTTGGGCAATTATCTGCCTGTTATTAACTATTAACCCTTATTAACTACGTTTATGATGTTTATATTGTATGAAAATGTTTTATTTGGGGCAACTACGTGCATAGATACAGCCGTAAAGCATAGCACTGTGAGAACTTCTCGTAAAGACTATAAAGTACAGTACTAGTACTTCTCCAAAAGCTCAGTGTGAAGTGCAGCTTTAACTGATTCTTCACAGTGTGTACAGTTTGCCTCCATGCTGACAGCTATCACCAGACCCGCTTAGATGTTCTGCTTAGATCATACTTCAGCCCTGTTGTGAGGATTTAAATGGTGCATAGTCCTCCTTGTGCTCCATCTCTGCACAACAGTGAATTTCATTTGGGAGTTCATTTCAAGTAGGAAAAAAAAAAGGAGACTCCCACTTCTGGAAACCAACATATCAGCAGAGTGTCTTGGAGCATTAGAATAAGCACGAACAAGAATCTCAAAGTTATTCAAAGAGATATGTGCCTGGAATGCAGTTGTGGATGTTTGTGATTATATTGCTAACCTTGGGTCTGCATTTTGTTTTTTAAACGCTGAGTATCATGCCGAGAAGAGCCGTGGAAAGAAGGCACATTATCACTGCCTCAGTTCCTCCCTCATCCCTTTTTACTTGAGGAGCATTTTGTAGCAGCAGCAAATTGTGACATCGCTGTGCCCACTCAGTTGTGCCAGCTAGTGAACAGGGGAGGGAGTCAAAGCCAATGATCCAGCAATGCCCTGCCTCTCCTTACCCATCCCCTTCCCAGCTACTCTGAAAGGGTACATCTACACTGCATCCCTAGTTCGGACTAGGGATGCAAATGGAGATGACCAAAGTAGTTAATGAAGTGGGGATTTAAATATCCCACGCTTCATTAACATGATCTCGCCGGCGCGCTAGTTCGAATCACAGCTGATTCGAACCAGGAAGTGTGTGCAAAAAATGAGGAGTAATGTTAGTTCAGGCTAAGGGCTCAAAAAATGAGGAGTAACGTTAGTTCGGGCTAAGGGCTTTAGTCCGAACTAACGCGTCCCGGCGTGCACTTCCTGGTTTGAATCAGCTGTGATTCGAACTAGCGCGCCGGCGAGATCATGTTAATGAAGCGTGGGATATTTAAATCCCCACTTCATTAACTACTTTGGTCATCTCCATTTGCATCCCTAGTCCGAACTAGGGATGCAGTGTAGATGTACCCAAAGGGAGTAAATGTGTGCTCTATGCCCAGTCCTCTATGTGGCTCATATGGGGGATAAGGAAGACTAAAGGAATTCTTACTTATTCTGACTCCTTCACTCCCCTGTGCTGCTATGCAGCCTCAGTCCCAGTCTAGCTCTAAGTAGTATATGTTGTTTGCCTTCACATATATAAAGTCTGGCGTGTGATTGGTTTAATAAATAAAAATAAACCGTAACTTTTCTTCACATCACACAGCTAAATTCAGTTGTGGCCTAAGCAGCTAAGTGATGCTCCCATAGCAAAGAGGTATTCTTGGCTTTGATAACATTTTGTCTTTTTTGCTTCTATTGTGTATGTATTAAAAGCAATCAAGATTCAACAATCTTGTTGAACTTGATCTTTGAACTGTTAACATTTATTTAAGCAAGGCACTACCCATGCAGAAAATCAGATCTCAAATAGTCTCAAAGAGGTCTCTTCCCATTCCAAATTTCCTGATCTCTCATTTTCTTTCTAAATAAAGGGTATATTTGGAAAACAATGAAGGTGCTGCAGGAAAGACAGCAGTGAAACTGCTTGGCAGTCGTCATAAATCCTCTCTGGGTTTCCATAGCTGTAGCGTCAGGCAGGGGCTTGCTCTTGAAATTCTTTATTTTCTTTGCAATGTATTTATGAATATACAGCTAAATAAGCCAGTAAACCCTGGAGCCACAAGTCCGAAAGCCTGTGGGTCTTAGACTACCCACAGGATGGAATTAGTGCCAATATAAATCCACACTATGCTGGAACTTCTTAAGTCCTCTCATGAATTTTAAATCTCTTTATCTATTCTGTCAGAACTATTTAACTTAACCTGTCTTTATATTCAAACTTCCATCTTTTCTGGAGTGCTAGATATGGAAACTAGTTTTACAGTGAACATTGATCCACAGAATGGCATCAATAAATATTTTGTTTCCCACTTTTCTCCATTACAAAATCCCTAAAATAGTTGGTTCAGTCTGTAATCCAACAAAGCCATTAAACATGTGCTTGGTTCTAAATGTGTGTGTCATCCGTTTGACTCCAATGGGAGCACAAAGGGTAAGTCTATACAGGGCTGACAGCTCCGCAGCAGAGCCATGGCTGGCCTGGCTCAGCTCATTAGGTCCCTGCAAGGGTGTAAGGTCCCAGAACTCAGTGTCTAGTAGAGGCCCAGTTGTCTACAAAGCAATTTTTAGTCCCTCAGACATGAGTCTGAGTGAGCCAATCTGGGCCAGCCACATCTTTTTTTAATCCTGCGTAGCCATACTTAATAAGCCTATACACAAACAATTGCTGAAGGGTTTTGCTGGACTGGGACTTCAATCTCAGACTGATGTTTATTGGTTGATTTGAATATGTACAGCACTATATAACTGCTAATCACAGCGGCCATAAACTATTAAGTGATCCATTCCACCTCCTTGTGAATGTAGACTCATTCCCTGCATCTGTTGATCAGACTCGTTTTGAAATTCATGAGCAGAGGCTTTCTCCATTTCCCCAGGGAGACTATTCTACTATCTAATATTTTCCTTGGAAAGACATTCCCAGATATTCAGCCTAATTTCCCCTTTCTTAATTTCATCCTTTTATCCCAGTGATACTGCTTCACACCAGTTTTTTTCTGTGCACCTGAACTGAGCCCTTCCCTTGCTTGATATTTTCTCACTATATAACATAAAGTTTTGCAACATGGTATTTTCCATTTATTTTCAGAGAAATGTTAATATTCCTTTGGAGGTTTCCATAGGCATTTCACATTTAGCAATATTTCTGTCAAATGTACAGGTGAGCTGTCGTTACAGCCATGCACCAATGAGAGATGTGCTTTAATATTAGACTGCAGTGGTCTGACTTTCTTTGACTATACCGGAGTATCTGTGCTTCTTCAGGTATGTATATACATTTTATATATTCAGAATGGAAGCCAAAGCCATGTTCTCCTCACTCATGCAATTATAACCAATAGGATTACTTGTATGAGGAAGGTGATCTTAGATTTGATCCAGCAAATTCTGTTGGCAGCCCTGCTTAACATGGTAGAGTTCTGGCCCATGAAAGAATGGAGCCCATATGTACATAGCAGATGTGTCAAATTATATTAGTGATCATTCAGCTGTATTCAGTAGATCAGAAATTACTTTCCAAAAGCTAATTCCTGTTGGTGCTGTTGAGATTAAATTCAGTGGAAAATTAGCATGGCACAAACTGGTCCTAAATAATTTTGCTCTTCCATTTGACCTGCCAATTCTTGATCCATCAGGTTCTGGTTGTAATTTCTTAGCTGACCAATTATAATGTGGAATGGATACAGATGACCGTAGGACAGATCCAAGTTAAAGGAAACTTCCAAATGAGAATAAAGCTGCTGACCATAAGTTCTGGAACTAAGGTTATGGGGGTTGCTGCAGCCTCCACTGGCTTGAAGTGTTTTCCATTATCTAGGGTTTGCCGTTTGGTTCAATGATGCCCAGCAGCCCCACTATAAAAATTATTCCAGCAACCCTGAGTGGGAATGAAGGACTCTTCTGTTGTATTTAACTGTGTCATGTTAAACTAGGGAAATTACTGTATCAATAGCTTTACATTGTTAATATTATAGAATGCCTCCCTCTGGTGGCAGCTGTTGGTAACACTTTGAATATATTACAGCATGTTGCTTGTTTTGTTTATACATTATTTTGGGTATCTTATTCTCAGTTAATGCTTCAAACATTTTTGCAAAATCTTTAATGTTGTTGCTCCTTTAGATATATATGGATTTTAAGAACAGAAGTATCAACGTGTTGCTAGCACATTGTAAAGGCAAGTATCAGGCCACACACACATTTTAACTGTAGTTTAAATGTGCACATTATCTTTGTAATGTTTATATGTGTGTCTTATTACAGCTTCCTTGGTGAAAGCATTGCAGTACAGTGGGAATCTAGGATCAGAAAATCCTATCTTCTTTGACTCCATTTCCTCTGCAATTGGTGCCATTGATTTAAACAGGGTGAGTTGTAAAGCAGCCATTGATGAAATCCAGAAAGTTCAAAGGCTTGGTTTGTAAGTTTATGAAAATGTGTTACAGTGAAGAAGTTCCATACATCCAGTAACTCCTCTGGGCACAAACCTACCTTTCTACCAACCCTCCCTTACTCCAAACAACTCGCTTCTATTATTAATGTTTCATGTCCACAGGACTGGTGACTGGTGTTCCAGACTTGGGACTTTAGTTATCTGAGTCTCTCTTCACACCAGTCCCTCCCATTCCTTATGGACTGTGGCAGCTTTTTGTACTAGGTTCCGATGGCTTTATGATCTGAGGCATAATGTAGTTTAGGTAACAGCAAAACAGAGTTGCACAGGCACTACTGTGCCTCAGCTTGAATTTAAAAGGTGGGTGAAGGATGAAAGACTGATGGGAGTGAGGAAACATAGAGAAGGAAGGAGCTTTTGTGAGAGTCTGCAGATGAGAGAACAGACGATTCTTGAAAGGCAGCAGAGACAGCTGTGTAGGGTGGGGAAGGGGAGGAAGGGAGGCTTGGTTCAGGGAAAAGGGTTGAAACTTGAACCAGTTTTTACTCGGTAAAAACCAGTTCTTCCTTGTTAAACAAAGTATAAAGCCTGCTCTCTGTTCAGAATATGAACAGTATAAACCTTTTTCATCGCAAAGCCCTTTTAACTGAGTGTACACTATAAACAGTGTGCTTTCCCACAGCTTGACTCAGGAATACAGAGATGGCAAGAAGCCTATTTAGAGCTGCCTCCAAGAAAGATTAAACTAGTCAGTGGTCTGGGTATTTGTCTGTTGCTATAAACAGGCACATTCTTCTAATTAGGTTAGAAATGCCTCCTGTCTGTCCTCTGCCAACAAAATCCCTCTTTGTTGATTCACCCAGTTAAGGTGCATTGGAGATGCAGTGTGGTGAATTACAGAATGAGAGACATATGTTCAGTTCACTGTGTTTTCTCACCATTGTACACTCAGAACTAGAACCACTTGCAGCGAAGTAGGAGACTTGGGGGACAAAAATGGTGGACCTCTATGTTGCTGATTGGGTCTGTTACTTGTTATTTTTTCTGGTTTTGGATTTAATATGAGTGTTATAAGAACATAAAAACACACACGCTAGGCCAGACCAATGGTCCGTCTACCTCAGTCTTCTGGCATCGGTCAGTGCCACATGCTTCAGAGGGAATGAACAGTCAGTGAGTGATCCATTCCCTGTCAGTAAGTCCCAACTTCTGGCAGTCAGAGCCTTTGGCCAGGGCTGGACAGAGGCATGGGCTAGCCAGGAAGCTGCCCAGAGCGCCAATCGATGGGGGGCGCCTGATGGCAGCTGTAAGCGTCGCGCGGCGTCCCTTACAGCTGTCATCAGGTGCTGCGTGCCCGGCTCCTACAGTGCCGGCCCACCCGCATCCCCACGGCGCCAGCCAGCAGTGCCCTTCCCCTCCACAGCTGCGGGGCCCTACACAGCCCGGCACGCTCGCCAGCAGCGACAGCCGGGCCGGACTGGGCCACGCTTGCGCTGTGTGCCCTAGGGGCAGGCTCCGGGCTGCGTGCCAGCGGCCATAGCTGGGCTGTGCATGCACCATGTGCCCCGGGGGCGGGACTGCGCACCTTAAGCGGGTGGGCCCGCTCCCCATGGGCGGGCCCACGCATGTGCCATGCGCCCGGGGGGCAGTGCCGCACGCCCGTGCCTGGGGCACCAGAATACCTCGGGCCAGCTCTGCCTATGGCAAGGGCCTTTAGGCCAGGTCTACACTAGAGGAGAAAATCAATGAAAGATGCACAACTCCAGCTATGTGAATTGCATAGCTGGAGTTGACAAATCTTGAATTAATTTTGTGGGGTGGCCCAACAGTGGGAGGTTGATGGAAGAAACTCTTCCATCAACGTCCTTACTCTTGCAGCAGCAAGGATTACCGGCACCAATAGGGGTGCCCTCAGTGTTCAGGTTAGCAGGTCTTTACTAGACCCACTAAATTGAATGCCTGAAAATCGACCGCTGCAGCATCGATCTTCCCCCAAGTAGAGATGTGATCTGAGCAAATGTTCTTAAGCAGAGTAAGCAGTCACAGGATAAGGGAGAAAGTCCTCTCATGGGTCAGAACTGGTTAAAGATAAGAAACAAAGTGTATGAATAAAAAGTCAGTTTTCACAATGGAGTCCTCCAGGAATCTGTATTGGGCCTGCTGCTGTTCACTATATGCATCGACCTGAAAAAGGATAAGCACTGAGATGGCAGAGTTTGCAGATGATACAAAATTACTTAAAATGGTTAAGTCCAAGCTGGTTAAGAAGAGTTACTGTTACAAAATTCACTGCTGAAAAATGCAAAGTGTAGGTTGGACCTCTCTCATCTCGCACCCTGGGGACCTGACTGGTTCTGGATGAGGGATATTTCTGGACCAGAGGAGATCATTTCAGGCCCCCTGCTGCCATCCCTTCCACAACCCCATGGACTTCCTGCTCCCCCCTGCAGCTCAACTGAGCCGCACATGAGCGCCTGGCCCCTCTTCAGCCCAGCTGAGCCATGTGCCAGCTCCTGGCACTTCCACCCCTGAAGCCCAGCTGAGCCGTGCACTGGTTTCTGGCACTCCCCACCCCCCGTCCCTGCAGCCCAGCTGAACTACATGTCAACTCCCTGCTCCCCCCTTTGCAGCCCAATTGTGCCACGCTGGCTCTTGGCTCCCCCCCTTCGCAGCCCAACAGAGTCATACTTCAGCTCCCAGGCCCCCACCACTTTGCAGCGCAACAGGATTCTCTGATCCTGGAATATCTGTGGACATGCCAGACCACGGATGTTGCCTGACCAGAGAATCCCGGACTTTAGTGGTGCAACCTGTAATGTACATTGGAAAACATAATCCCATATCCATACAAAATGATGGGATCTAAATTAGCTCTTAGTATTCAGGAAAGAAGCTCTAGGGAGTCATTGTGGATGGGGTTCTCTGCTTTTTTTGACTGCCATTGCATACAGAACAGAGGTTCACAAACACCATGTTAGTAGCCATTAGAAAAGGGATAAATAATAAGATAGAAAATATCAGAATTCCAGTATGTACTTTCAAACTTTGGTGCTGTGTGCAATTCTGGCTGTCCTAGTTTATGAAAGATGCATTAGAATTGGAAAAAGTACAGAGAAGGGCAAGAAAAAATGATTAGGGGCATGGAGCAGAGAGAGATTAAAAAGACTTAAGATTCTTCCTCTTACAGACTAGATGACTAAGGGAGGATATGGAAAAAGTCTATAAAACCATGACTGGTGTGCAGAAAAGGAATAAGGAAGTATTATTTATCCCTTCACAGAACACAAGAACCAGGGGTAAGCCAGTGAAATGAATAAGCACCAAGTTTAAAACAAATATAAGGAAGTACTTCACACGCTATAGAGCCAACCTTGCCAGGAGATGCTGTGAAGGCCAAAAATATAACTGGGTTAAAAAAAGAATTAGAACATTTTCTGGAAGGTAGGTCCATCAATAGCTATTAGCCAAGATGGTCAGAGAGTGCAACCTTCCTGCTCTAAGTTAAAATTATAAAGGCAAATGCTTTGTACTTTCATAGCAACATTGATCTCAAGCTCTCCAAATGGTTCAACAGTAATTAAACCTCACAA